TGATTCCTCACCGTTCTCATGATCATTGCAACTCCACGAGGTGAGATCTTACATGGAGCCACAGGCCGAGGGAGATTGACAGTTCTTTTGTGTTTCTTCCATTTGTGAATAATCACACCAACTGTTGTCACCTTCTCACCAAGCTGCTTGGCAATGGTCTTGTAGCCCATTCCAGCCTTGTGTAGGTCTACAATCTTGTCCCTGACATCCTTGGAGAGCTCTTTGGTCTTGGCCATGGTGGAGAGTTTGGAATCTGATTGATTGATTGCTTCTGTGGACAGGTGTCTTTTATACAGGTAACACGCTGAGATTAGGAGCTCTCCCTTTAAGAGTGTGCTCCTAATCTCAGCTTGTTACCTGTATAAAAGACACCTGGGAGCCAGAAATCTTTCTGATTGAGAGGGGGTCAAATACTTATTTCCCTCATTAAAATGCAAATCAATTTATAACATTTTTGACATGTGTTTTTCTGGATTTTTTTGTTGTTATTCTGTCTCTGACTGTTCAAATAAACCTACCATTAAAATTATAAACTGATCATTTCTTTGTCAGTGGGCAAACGTACAAAATCAGCAGGGGATCAAATACTTTTTTCCCTCACTGTAGGTGTGTTGCTGCTTGGCTGCAACAAAACCCTGCATCCATACCGACCCTTGCAGGGTAAGATTACCCACCCCTTTACAAGACCATTTCTCTCATTTAAGGAGTGCAGGAATAGTGATGGATGGGATGTGGGAAATACATAGAGTATAGTTCATTCAGAGCGTAGTAAAGATCTTTATGATAACTTCTAAACGAAGCTATGATTGAAATGTCATGTACTCATATGTTATTTCTCCATTTATATGTTTTAAAGGTCCAACGCAGCCGTTTTTATCTCAATATCAAATCATGGATAACAATTCAGTACCTTACTGTGATTGTATTCAGTTCAAATGGTCAAAAAGAAACAAAAATAGCTTTTTAGCGGAGAGCAATTTCTGAATCAATAATTTTGCTAGGACTGTCTGGGAGTGGTCTGAGTGCGGAGGGGAAAACAGAAAATTAGATGTTATTAGCAGAGAGGTTTGGAACTCTCTTTCTTATAGGTCTATTAACTCCATCCCACCAAAGCAGGCTGAAATGTCAGGCCTTTCAAACAGTGCGTACACTAAAAGGGCATTATCATGATTTTTTTAAAATGTCACAGTATTATTCCAACCACATAGTGTGGAAATATATATAAAAAACAGGAAAATCACGTTTTTGACTGCACTGGGCCTTTAACATAAAGAGCCATTAAGATTGATCGACTGTGGCTGTGGAGAAATAAAACGCATTGGCTGAAACAGATTTCTATTTTTAGTTCTTTTCATTTAACCTTTACCAGGAAGGAAGTCTCTTGAGGTTTGAATCAGTTTTTCGAGAGTCTTGGCCAGACATCATTGTTCATGATAAACCAACGCAATACACACAAAAATACACAATTTAAATGTAGTTGCATTGGTTGAGGCCACATATTGTCAGTGGATGAGGTGAGTTGAGATGAGTTCCCATTGAGCACCTGGTGAAAAAAGTGCAATGTAAATCCATCTATTATAGTCACCACATGGTAGGGTTTAGGTCTGTTTCCAGGCAGGACTTTTTGTTTCTCACTCTGAACCTGGGACAGGTGTCCGTGTCAGCGAGTTCTGGAACTCTTGTCTGGTGCAATGCATGATGGGACAGCTGGCTGCCACTGCCACCGTATGCCTCCCGTATGACTCATGTGAGGGATGGAAAGAGGGATGGTTAGACAGAAGGAGTTTGGATGTCTTAAAGTATTATAACATTCCATCTGATGTCTTCTCCTTCGAAGTATGTGTGTGCATGAGTGTGTGCACGAGTGTGTGCATGACTGTGTGTGCATATGTGTGTGTGTGTGTGTGTGTGTGTGTGGTAAGCCTCTATCAGAACAGATGTTAGACACAGCAGGCTCATGTCCTTATGGCCAGCGGGGGTTCAGGAGGATTTGGCTGCTGCACAGATCAAAGTCATGATCAACCTGAACAGAAAAAGCAGCCCGCAGAGAACTGCAGATGCATCCAAATATGATCCATCCACACACTGTGTGTGTGTGTGTGTGCGTGTGTGCGTACGTGTGTGTGTGAGTTTGTGTTTGTGTGTGCAAGGTGTGTGTGTGTACATTAATAGGTGTATGAGAAAGAGCAAGTGTGTGGTGTGTGATCGCACTCTTGAGTGTGATTAGAGCATTAGCAGGAGATGCGCCCTAGAGAGAAACACCTCTAAATCCATGTCACAAACACACACACACACACACAGACTATTTTTCTCTTCACGGGGATCTAGCTTTTCATAGTCAGCATTCCTGTCTCTGCACACACACAGAGGTGGGCTCAGTTCCACTTTAGCTCCTGCCAGAATAAAGCTACCTTCTCTCTCTCTCTCTCTCTCTCTGATGATGAAATACTGCAGGTGTGAAGGAGGGACAAAGAACAGTACAATCTCTTCGGACATGTAGGATAGTGTATTGCAAAATCAGCATGTTTAAATGATACATTTAGGTTTGACTGAGTGTCAGTTAAATTTGATACAGGAAATTGATTCCTGAAATGACTGGAATGGCCATTTCTGGCACACCATACAGGTTAGAGGTCAAATGCCTTTGGTAATTCTATGAGGCTGTGTTATGTTTTTGGCAGTCGCTTGTGCACGTGTGTTCTTGATATGTGTGATGGTGTGCATCCGTGTGTGTGTACCCTAGCTGACTACTCCACCAACACCAGCCTCCATTACCTATATTAATGCAGATCTTCAGACAGATCAAATCTCATTTTCCCAGCTAATTCAATTTCCCAAGCCTGTCCCACGAGCCCTGAGGGTTTTGGATAAGCTGCTCTATCACTGCTCTGAGTTTCAGTACTTTGTTATATGTAGGTGTGTGTTTCGATCATTATACTAGAGCAGATTGTGGAATGAGATTTTAGTGTCGTTTCTGTTCTTTTACGCAATATGGGCACTCATATTGTGTGCAGAGTTTTGTTCAAACCCAGGTCCAAAACGGGTCAAATTTAGTTGATTTGTGCAGTGAACAAATGAAAGGCCTATTAATATAAACAATTTGCATTGTGAAAAGTAATGTAACATCAATACCCCCAATTATCATTTTTGGAGAAAAAAAAATACATTTTGAGGACCCCAGGTTGAAAACCACTGGCCTAAGTAACGGTAGGGGAAACACTGCTGTGGTGTTGCCAGTAATAATTGTTTTTTTTTTTCATCTGATGACAATGTTGCAGGTAATCTCCTTGGTAACCGTAGTGGTGACCACAGCTCATTTAACAGTCCTCCAGTCCACCTGCTGCTATCCCAGGGGGCGGTGCTCCAGATGGTCTCTGATTGGTTTCTCACAAGCCCAGGATGGGGCTACTAACAGGCAGCATTAATACCACTGATAGCTCTGTGTGCCTGTGGTGTTTAGAGGTGTTCTTCTGAGCGTGATTGTGTTATCATTTAGCCTATACATTTACACATCAGCCAGTGTCTGTGAATGTGAGTTTTGTCAGGATGTAGCTGGCTGCCTATACAGTGTTGGGCTGGGGGGTTGAGTGGTTTGATGAGGTGTTGCAAAGTGTGATATGTGGAGTTGCCCTGGTCAAATGGGTGCTACAGGGAGAAGGGGAGTGGCTGATGGGTAGTAAAGTGATGGGAGATGGGTTATTGGGCATCTCTCTATCAGTCAGAAGCCTCACCTGCTCAAGCGTGCAGAAAGAGCAAGTCTGGAGGAATCGTGATGGCCATCTCAATGAGAGGGGAGATGGAGGAAAAAGGTAAGTGATGGTAGCTGAAGAGAGCAGATAGAAAAAGAAAGCGGGAGAGAAAGTAGAGAGAATCTGGAGGCGTGATGCTCATCTCAATGCGCCTCTGGCTTCTCACTGCTCAGATCACAGCACTATTTACAGATAGAGGGGGAGAGTAGAGATGGAGATTAGAGGGAGTGAGCAGAAATGAAAGGGGCTGCACTGACCCTATAAACTGGGATATACAGATTGCACATATTTTCTAAATGTTATTACCAACGACATAAATGCCAGGAAATTGTTGAAAGGACGTGCGCGCGTTAGAGGATTTGGTGGAGTGCGTGTAGGCCTGTGTGAAAGCCAGACGCTAGGGGGTTGTACAGTACAGGTTGGTATATGGGGATCGTCCTCGCTGGCAGACAGCAGGCTCCCCTCCATAGACATTCACCACATGACGATACTGCTGTACGCTGCAGGATCACACGCCATTTCCACCTCTGCACATGTCCACACTTTCATTAGAGATGTTACACCTGAAGGCTGCCTGCAAGCAGTCACTTGTGAAAGCACAAACCACATCTGCTAGACAGAACCATAGCTATTCCTCTACATGTTCACATTCATTATATAGGCATTTCACTGATGCTGTACACTGCTCTGGCATCTTACCAGCACATTACCTCTGCTTGTTCTGGCGCAGTCGAATCTGATTGAGACAAGCGGTGGACAAAGCAGGCGCAACAGAGCTTGTGACGCTAGCCTCCAGATACACTGAATGGTTATGGAACCTGACTAGTGTTACATGATGCAATAGCTTGAATTAAACACAAATAGTCAAGGCATGTGACAAATTACCTTTCATTTGAAAGACTACACATGTCAGTGGGTCATGGGCGTCAGGGCACAAGTATCTGGTTTAAAAGGGACTGTCCGCATGCCATTCAGAAATGTGTTGCTATAGTAACCTTGCATGGCTTAGAGGACATCTCTACAACTACCGAAGATTGAAAGTGTGCAGAAGTCAGAATTTTAGAACCACCCTGTGCCCAAAATGTTAAGCGAGATCAGTTCTCTAATAAAGTCAATAAATCAGCAAAAACATGAAGTTGAATATCAAGCATTTTATTTAACAAGCATCTTGTGTATGCAACAAGGGCAGTCAGGCCCTCAGCCCAAGCTGAAGTTGCGCAGAAGGATTTATCCTCAGACCTGGACAGGTGGTTATAGGGTCAGAATCAGCTCCCCACTGGACACCACAGCTATCTCACCATCCACAGACTTCACTGCTGCCACAGCTCTCCCTGAAGGAGGAACAGAAGATTGTGAGGCACGTGACTTAAGGCCCCTAAATCCCAACTAATTCACAAAGCAGTTCAGCAACTTTCAAAAATTCTGGTTAAATAAAAAGGTTGAGATGTCTTGAGGTTTGTGCGAATGTAAACCCCATAGTGCTCCAGGACCACAGTTGGTGGCCACCGCTTTACTTAAGCTAGATGAAAGTTAGAATTCAACCCCAGATAGATTTTTAAAAACCCACTTACTAAGCCTGTTGCAGTGCTGTTGACAGTTGTAGGTCTTAGTAGGGTAGCACACCTCCGTACTACAGTGAATGAACACCTGGATGGAAAGCAGGTTGGCATTTATTGGGATGATTCATGTACTAGAGGCAGCTCTGCAGAGTGGTCACTAGCTGGAACAGTCAAAATCTGATTTTAAACCTAACAGTCACTGCTAATTTGTTTATGCATTTCTACAATGTTGACTTTATATCCATCCCATCTAGTGGAAAGTACTCAGTTCTGCCTCCAGGGCAAGACAGATGACAATGAACATCAACCTGCAGCTGGAATGCAATCCTTAAGCATGGTGTCACTTTAGTCATTTAGAAGACGCTCTTATCCAAACTTAATTAAAGGAGCGATTAGGGTTAAGCAGCACAACAGATCTCACCTACTCGACATTCGAACCAGCAGCCTTTCAGTTACTGGCCCAACGCTATTAACCACTAGGCTGCCCCAAATAGCGACTATTATGCAATCCATTAAAACTGCAGGGCCATTTAAAAGCGCCTTAGAGGTCAGCACCACTGCTGGTTTTCAACTAGTGACATGACAGGGAGTGGACTTTCTTGCCAATCAGTCAACCATCAGGGAGAAAACCCAGCAGTCCTTCAGACCATGATTTAAATACTCCTGCTGTAGTGAAGTAAAGATGCAGTACCCTGTCCTTCAGAGGGGTTAAGGTGTCAGCATCCACAAAGGTGAACATCTTGACCACAAAGCGTTTGTAGTGGGTTGGGAATGCAATGCCAGAGGAGCCAGCCACAGGGATCACATTGGTCAGGTAGCGGTCATCCTGGTAGGGACACCTGGAGAGGGGAGAAAGTCATTGTTAGGACAACTCCAGAAATCTTCCCAAAGTTCCTAGGTTGACAGCACCAGTTAGTTTACAAGCTAAGTGCTTTACATGTAAGCACAGATTCAAAATGAAAGTTGGAAAGGCGCATTACATGAAAATCGAGCAGCAAAGCAACCATCTTAGTTACCCATCAACCAGGAGGTCCCACTTGGGCAGGCTTAGAGGACTGTGGGTGGATGTGGCCCAGCAGTGCTCCAGATTCAGGACCAGGTTAGAGTCTGTCCTCCCCAGGATGTGAACCTCAACATACACTGGCTCCTTTAGGACCTTCACAACTGGGTAGTCTGCCTCACTGTAGTATGAGCTATAGGCTTCCAATTCTGTGGAAACAAAGGGTAGAGTTCACACAAACAGCTGAAGTGTAAAAGTTTCAGAACAGTGCTGGCCATCTTACCCACAGAGTGTGATACAGGCATTGTCCTACCCAGGAAGCAACACATCTGACTCAACTAAGTCTTTATAGAAGACTAGGATTTACAGAACCAGGCATGTTAGTTTGGTGTGAACCGAACTGCACCCAGCCCTTATGCCACAAATCAATTCCCCCTCAAACAAAACTACAAGCCATTAAGGAAATAATATTATTCTCAAACAAGCAACCATTTTGCCAACTTACCTTCCACACATCCCTTGTTGTAACATTGCCCACTGGCCAGTCGGAGCTCCAGTCTGATGGGTCCAGGAGCCGCAACCGGAGCAGGTGGAGGAACAGGGTTCACCTCAACAACTAGAACCTCCACTGCAGTGCCAGAATACTTACACTGGAATAGCAGCCTAGGATAGAAACATTGACTGTTATGGAACACCAGTATTGAGTTTCTCAACATTGATTGTGTGGGCTAGCTAGTATATGCTGGGCATGCAGACTCGAGCATCAAATTGGATACCATTTAGCGTCGGCTAATTAACTGAAACGCTTATAAAATATATCTAAAAATAGTTTGAGTATTTAATTGTGCAGAATTGGTTGAAAACAACTTCAAGCCCCTGTGGAGAGAAGACCCACTCAAAATGGCTGTCTCTGGTGATTGAGCCCCGAGGTCCAACCCCCACTTCATAGGAAGAGGTCATGCTGTTCTCATAAACCACATAGCCACTTTCATCCTGAAAGGTACAAAACACATTAAGTTAGTGTAGGCCAGTGGATATATAACATCCAGGCTTTCAGTTAACCACACCGCAGGTATTATTTGTACCCTCACAAAATCAGGCACACCAGGTAATTACATAATTGCCTATTAACTACTAGGGAGACTAGAACCCCAGCAGTGTTTCAGACCAAGATATGGACCCCCCCCCCCCACCACTGTGGAAGCAACAATGGATTGATTCATAGAGCACTTTTCTAGATGCTCAAAGACCTACATTGCATGGCACATTAAGACATCTACCCACCATCAGAGTGGTGCCACATGCAGTGACAGGGAACTGGTATATGGCAAAGGCTGTATTGGTGCCAACAGGCTTACAGGGGGCATCCTGCCCTCCAAGCAGATTGATAGAATCAAGGTCCAGGTTGGGCCAAGTGGTATCCCTGGCCACCACCACAACAAACTGGCCATCTCTGGTACACTGCACAGTCACTGGGGAAGGAGATGGCACAGACAGGAGTTGAGTAGTTTGTCCACCATTGTGGAAAGGTATGGCGTGACAGTACAAACAGAACATTTAATTCACTCAATGTTGGCACTAACATCACTCCATAACTGAGTCTTAGAAGCTAGGCTTGGCAGGGATAAGTCCAGAGAATGACATGAAATTGTAAAATACATTCAGGGAAAATCACAACTACAATAGTGGACTCACCTGCTTTCCCATAGTAGCACCGCCGCCCATCAAAGCAGCAGTTGATCGCTTCACATTGAGTAATAGTAATTACAGGGTTTCCACAAGTAATCCTCTCCTCCTCATTTACTTGGCATTTCTCCATAGGAGTTGTGTCTGCTGGCCTCTGTGTAGCCTGCTGAGGCCTCCACTGGGGCTGCTCAGCATAAGTCACTGGCCTAGTCAGACGCTGTGGAAGCCTTCCCCACTTCTGTGCTCCAAGTACATTGGTGTAGCTCACAACCAGCACCACAACTACAACCCACCCTGCCATTGTTGTACAATATTGGACTAAATTCAATGTACTTCTGTTGCTTGCTGAGGCTTTTATACCTGAGGTGTATTCATTACGGAAACCGTTTACCGTTTAAGAACCAAACGGCTGCAAACAGAGCAAAACAAGAGTTTCTATTGGACAAATTCAGGTAGGTCCCTCCCAGTTTTGTTCCGTTTGCTTCCGTTGAAGAAATGTTTTGCAACAGAATCGGCGTAATGAATACACCCCTGATTGAGTGCATTGGTTTGGCGGGAGCCCCGCCCCTCCTCGTTAAGAGTCAAGGCATCGCCAGCCCTGGGTAGTTAATCAGTCAGGGCATGGCAGGTGCAGCTCATTGACGGCTCATTTGGCTCTAGAGAGTGATCATTACTTAGGGATTGTGTCTATCAAATCGGCCCATTTAAATGCTGTGAAATTAATGAATTGTCTCTATCACTGGATCCATCTCAGTAGTCGAGAGTTGCTTCCTCTTATCCTTTCTGTCATTTTCACTGATTTGACAATATAGGCTACAAAATAATCAATATTCAGAAATGTCCTTTCACCTGTCTTCTCAGCGCAAATAGAGAAGGGGAGAGGAAACCACTTTGGACTATTGAGATACATCCTCTATTAGTCTTTCTTTCACTTTCTCTCTCTCTCACCTTTTTCTTGCCCCCCCCCCCCCATAAATTCCGTTCCAGACATTATTATGAGCCGTTCTCTCCTCAGCAGCCTCCACTGTGTTTAATGTATATGTTCAACAGGACTTAGGAGCTGAAAAATGATAAAATATTCTCATTTTCCTGACTGCTCATCAGTCTCTAGGGATTGGTAATTACCATGAGCGTGTGCCTATCAAATGGATATTTAGAATACTTGATTAATGGTCTGCTCTACCTCTTTGGGTCCATCTCAATAGTCTGAAGATCCTTCCTCTTCTTGTCCCCTCTCCTTCATTTTCACCCAAAAATCTATATGAGGGACACTTTTTAGATATTCCTTTAGACTATTGAAATGCAGCCACTATTTCTCCATCCTTCCCCTTCTATCTCTCCCTCTCTAATTCTATCTTGCCCGCCCCCCTTCTCTCCCCTCTGTCCTCCTCTCTCTCCCATGTATGATTAATGTATTATATTAAACAGAAATCAGAAGCTGGTTGTGTATGCTGAGGGTCACTTTGAATACTTAAAAATGATCTAATGTTCTCTTTCTCCTCCCTCTCCCTTCCCCCTGTCATTTAGATGTATGGGCGTTACACACAGGAGCTCGGCGTGTACGCCAAGGAGGAGGCGGCTCGCCTGCGTGATGGCGGGGGGTTGCGGCGGTCCACCAGTGCTCGCAGTCGGTCGGCAGAGCTGCTGGAGTATGAGAAAGACCCCTGCGCCAAGTGTCATGGTGAGTGACCGACTGACCGTAACATGACCACACATATTTACTAAGATATCTAATGACCTCAACATGACCACTCATATTTATTGACTTGTGTAATGACCACAGAAAGACTACAGTGCCAAGTATCAGAGTGAGCGATCACTGTGCTCCTATGACCGCTCCTATGACTGCACCACAACCACTGGATTGACAGCGTCAACCTATGTTGCACTAACCACCTCAGTGATCATAATCTCGGTTTAAACCAGAACTAAAGTCTTCCGTAATTGGTCAGATGCTCGAAAAAGTTCTGGGTCCATACGTGTTAAGAGGATCGGAACCAGAACGAAGAGCGCCACCCTTTCTCTTTGCAAGTTACGGGCAAGTCTATGGGCCAAATGTCCCCTCCCCTTCCAAAATTCAAAAGATGCTAACACCTGCGAAATCGGGATTTGTCAAAATAACCAGTGATGAAAAACCCACTGAAACTAATGCCGCTCATTATCTCGCGCATCCCATTGTATCATGACAGATCTACTTACCATTTATGTTTACGCAGTCTTTCCACGAGAGATTACACTGACCATAACCTGACCTAACCTGACTGCTCTGCTGTATTGAACACAGAACACATTTGAAGAGAGGTTCTGATATTAGTGGTGCACCCTATCAGCCTCTAGTGAGATAGATAGGTAAATTTGGCACTTATGACACAGTATGATGACTGATGATCAATCCTGTGCCATGGCCTCGTGGGTGACAACACTGCTCTTCTGTCACTGTAAAAACAGCCCCCTCTGCTGGTAATTAATGGTCACAGTGTGTCTGTGATGATGAGGGCTGCTGTTGTGCATATCAATAGTTCCTCTGTTGCCTTCATCTTACTGCATCACGCCTTTCAACCTCCTGGCTTTTCTCTCCAGAGTAGTACAAAATGATGAGGGCTAGGAACAAGGAGCGGATCTGCGTATGACTGCGTGTTGGCTGAAGTTTATGGCTGTGTTCCAACTGCTTTCTATCCTTGTCTCCTATACTCTGTGCCCTTGTGGCTACTGATCTCATTAAGATTGGATAGGTGAAAGCAATATCATAAATACTCTGTCTAGCTGACTGGAAAAGAGCTTAGTGAAAAGATTTGTTGTCAGAGTGATTGGTTTAGGGACTTTTCTCTGTTAATAAGCTAGCTATCAGAAGTAGTTACTGATCAAGTGTAGTACCTATTGTTGTGTTCAGTGACCAGTCAATTTATTCTCAATCTATGTGCGCTAGAGAGAGAGAGAGAGAGAGAGAGAAAGAGAGAGAGAGAGAGAGAGATTTAAAATTGTACTAGGAAGACTGGTTTGCGTTCAAGCTAGAATGAATGGTGGCCGGCGCATAGGATACAAAATATCTATAGAGTTAAAAAGGTACTCGCACTCAAACCATGAAAAGGAATAACCCAATGAGGCCGAGATGCAAAAAAAAAAAAAAAGGGTGAAATTTCACAGTGCTATAAAAAGAAAAAGGACCCAACTCGGCCTCTCTTCAATAAGACTCTTGAGTACCAGCGAGATCTTGCCACGTTCTTGTACATGTTGTATAACACGAGGAGAGCAGAGCCCAGCCATCCTCCCACCAGAGGAGTAGGAGGATGAGTGTGTGCCTCTGTTCTATTCTGTGTGTGTGTGTGTGTGTGTGTGTGTGCCTCCCTCTGTTCTACTCCACATCCAGAGCCACAGTTTGAGAGCCAAGCCTACACACTCCGTCAAAAGGCTGAGCTGCTCATCGTGACGGTTAGCTTTAGAGAGCGCTAACATGCTACGCTAACACTTAATCCAGCGTGACTGACTCCTCTCACTCACCACCATCGGCGTCTACTGTATTCAATATAGTACACTGAGTTTATATGTAGTTCTACTGCATTTTATTGTGATGATCTGCGTGCGTATAAACTTAACTTCCTTAGATTGCGTGTTGAAAAAAAAAATGTTTACAACCTGGAGTTGTGAGGGAAAGACTTGAGCCCAGATAACAGGTTGTGGTTTCCAAAGTGTTTCCGGTATTTATTTATCCTGTTTGAGGTGTTCTTCGAGACTTCATTTGAGATGTGCCAGTGCCTCTCATGAAATGGGCTTTTGCCATTTTGTGCACTGGTTGCTAGTGATTGTTGTAGCCTATGCTTACGCTGAGGGAGTTTACGCTCACATTTGTTTTGATTATTTTGGCCCACATGTCATTATGTAATTTATTTTTGTATGATTCATATTCCGAACAGAATAGAAAAATATGCATCTGGCAGACCGTGTGTGTTTTGGATTGAGAAGAAGACGTCTGTCACGCTACTGTGGCTGCTGATATAAGGACGGGCCAAGTCGCCCATGCAAGCACTGGGCAGAGGGCCACACACCACGTGCCAAACTAGTGTGTGTTTGTGTGTATCTGTTTGCCAGAACGTCCTCCTGAGATGGCATAGGTACCACTAGCGGTGGTGCCACTAGTTGATGGTAGGACCGCTAGTCTGATTTATTGCCATGGGATATCGTGGAAATAGTCTGTACGACGATATTTCCTGTGAACATTTTGTCAAAAATGTCGACCTGCACAGGGAGGGACCAACCTCTATTGTGGAAAAGTCTGTACAATAATAATTTCCGGTTAACCTTTTTTTATTTTAAAGAAGAGTGGACCCTATATATTTTTATGCTGTTTTCAGAAAAAGTAGAAATTACAAGGCTATACAGATGATTAGGGGAGAGAAAATGGGAGGGGTCGATGCAGGGATTGGACCCAGGTCTCCATCGGGGCGCATGTGTGTCGAGAGCGGGAAGTGTTACCCCTTGATCCCAGATCTACACACTGTGAACATTTTGTCCGAAAATTCAATCCCCCAACGAACCAACCGAGTATTTGAAATTTAATTTTATTAATCGCCTATCAAGATAGCAATGAGAATATACAGTGAGCTCCAAAAGTATTGGGACAGTGACACATTTTTTGTTGTTTTGGCTCTGTACTCCAGCACTTTGGATTTGAAATTATACAATGACTACGAGGTTAAAGTGCAGATTATCAGCTTTAATTTGAGTATTTGGTCCCATATTCCTAGCATGCAATGATTACATCAAGCTTGTTGGATGCATTTGCTGTTTGTTTTGGTTGTGTTTCAGATTATTTTGTGTCCAATAGAAATCAATCAAATGTATTTATAAAGCCCTTTTTACATTAGCAGATGTCACAAAGTACTATACAGAAAACCAGCCTAAAACCCCAAACAGCAAGCAATGCAGATGTAGAAGCACGGTGGCTAGGAAAAACTCCCAAGAAAGGCAGGAACCTAGGAAGAAACCTATAGAGGAACCAGGCTCTGCGGGGTGGCCAGTCCTCTTCTGGCTGTGTCGGGTGGAGATTATAAGAGTACATGACCATTAAGGCCAGATTGTTCTTCAAGATGTTAAAACGTTAATAGATGACCTGCAGGGTCAAATAATAATCACAGTGGTTGTAGAGGGTGCAACAGGTCAGTATCTCAGGAGTAAATGTCAGTTGAAAAAAGCAGGTCCAGGACAAGGTAGCACGTCCGGTGAACAGGTCAGGATTCTATAGCAACAGCCAGAACAGTTGAAACTGGAGCAACAGCACGGCCAGGTGGACTGGGGACAGCCAGGAGTCATCAGGCAAGGTAGTCCTGAGGCATGGTCCTAGGGCTCAAGTCCTCTGGGAGGAGACATACACTACCAGTCAAAAGTTTGGACACACCTACTCATTCAAGGGTTTTTCTTTATTTTTAAATTTTTTTACATTGTAGAATAATAATGAAGGCATCAAAACTATTAAATAACATATGGAATCATGTAGTAACAAAATTAGTGTTAAACAAATATATATTAGAGATTCTTCAAAGTAGCCACCCTTTGCCTTGATGACAGCTTTGCACACTCTTGGCATTCTCTCAACCAGCTTCATGAGGTAGTCACCTGGAATGGATTTCAATTAACAGGTGTGCCTTCTTAAAAGTTAATTTGTGGAATTTATTTCCTTCTTAATGCGTTGGAGCCAATCAGTTGTGTTGTGACAAGGTAGGGTTGGTATACAGAAGATAGCCCTATTTGGTAAAAGACCAAGTCCGTATTATGGCAACAACAGCTCAAATAAGCAAAGAGAAACGACAGTCCATCATTACTTTAAGACATGAAGGTCAGTCAATACGGAAAGTGCAGTCGCAAAAACCATCAAGCCCTATGATGAAACTGGCTCTCATGAGGACCGCCACAGGAATGGAAGACCCAGAGTTACCTCTGCTGCAGAGGATAAGTTCATAAGAGTTACCAGCCTCAGAAATTGCAGCCCAAATAAATGCTTCACAGAGTTCAAGTCATAGACACATCTCAACATCAACTGTTCAGAGGGGACTGTGTGAATCAGGCCTTCATGGTCGAATTGCTGCAAAGAAACCACTACTAAAGGACACCAATAAGAAGAAGAGACCTGCTTGGGCCAAGAAACACAAGCAATGGACATTAGACTGGTGGAAATCTGTCCTTTGGTCTGGAGTCTAAATTGGAGGTTTTTGGTTCCAACCGCCGTGTCTTTGTGAGAGGCAGTGTGGGTGAACAGATGATCTCTGCATTTGTAGTTCCCACCGTAAACCATGGAGGAGGAGATGTTATGGTGTGGGAGTGCTTTGCTGGTGACACTGTCTGTGATTTATTTAGAATTCAAGGCACACTTAACCAGCGATACGCCATTCCATCTGGTTTGGGCTTAGTGGGACTATCATTTGTTTTTCAACAGGACAATGACCCAACACACCTCCAGGCTGTGTAAGGGCTATTTTACCAAGAAGGAGAGTGATGGAGTGCTGCATCAGATGACCTGGCCTCCACAACCCACCGACCTCAACCCAATCGGGATGGTTTTGGATGAGTCGGACCACAGAGTGAAGGAAAAGCAGCCAACAAGACACTGTGGCCCCGTCCGACAGGGCCAACCAGGCAGGATATAACCCCAACCACTTTGCCAAAGCACAGTCCCCACACCACTAGAGGGATATCAACAGACCACCAACTTACTACCCTTATACAAGGCTGAGTATAGCCCACAAAGATCTCCTACACCGCACAAGCCCAAGGGGCGCAAAACCGGACAGGGAGGTCACGTCAGTGACTCAACCCACTCAGGGACGGCATGGAAGAGCACTATTAAGCCAGTGACTCAGCCCCCGTAATAGGGTCAGAGGCAGAGAATCCCGGTGGAGAGAGGGGAGCCGGCCAGGCAGAGACAGCAAGGGCGGTTTGTCGCTCCAGTGCCTTGCCGTTCACCTTCGCACCCCTGGGCCAGACTACACTCAATCATAGGACCTACTGAAGAGATGAGTCTTCAGTAAAGACTTAAAGGTTCAAATCAAATCAAATCAAATGTTATTTGTCACATACACGTGTTTAGCAGATGTTATAGCGGGTGTAGCGAAATGCTTGTGCTTCTAGCTCCGACAGTGCAGTAATATCTAACAATTTCACAACATATACCCAATACACACAAAACTAGTAAGGAATGGGATTTAAAATATATACATATACAGTGAGGGAAAAAAGTATTTGATCCCCTGCTGATTTTGTACGTTTGCCCACTGACAAAGAAATGATCAGTCTATACTTTTAATGGTAGGTTTATTTGAACAGTGAGAGACAGAATAAAAATAAAAAAATCCAGAAAAACGCATGTCAAAAATGTTAGAAATTGATTTGCATTTTAATGAGGGAAAAAAATATTTAATCCCCTCTCAATCAGAAAGATTTCTGGCTCCCAGGTGTCTTTTAGGGCGGCAGGTAGCTTAGTGGGTAAGAGCGTTGTGCCAGTAACCGAAAGGTCGCTGGTTCTAATCCCCGAGCCGACTAGGTGAAAAATCTGTCGATGTGCCCTTAAGCAAGGCACTTAACCCTAATTGCTCCTGTAAGTCGCTCTGGATAAGAGCGTCTGCTAAATGACTAAAATGTAAATGTAAAATGTTTTATACAGGTAACGAGCTGAGATTAGGAGCACACTCTTAAAGGGAGTGCTCCTAATCTCAGCGTGTTACCTGTATAAAAGACACCTGTCCACAGAAGCAATCAATCAATCAGATTCCAAACTCTCCACCATGGCCAAGACCAAAGAGCTCTCCAAGGATGTCAGGGACAAGATTGTAGACCTACACAAGGCTGGAATGGGCTACAAGACCATCGCCAAGCAGCTTGGTGAGAAGGTGACAACAGTTGAAGCGATTATTCGCAAATGGAAGAAACACAAAATAACTGTAAATCTCCCTCGGCCTGGGGCTCCATGCAAGATCTCACCTCGTGGAGTTGCAATGATCATGAGAACGGTGAGGAATCAGCCCAGAACTACACGGGAGGATCTTGTCAATGATCTCAAGGCAGCTGAGACCATAGTCACCAGGAAAACAATTGGTAACACACTACGCCGTGAAGGACTGAAATCCTGCAGCGCCCACAAGGTCCCCCTGCTCAAGAACGCACATATACAGGGCCGTCTGAAGTTTGCCAATGAACATCTGAATGATTCAGAGGAGAACTGGGTGAAGATGAGTCAGATTTGGTCGGATGAGACCAAAATGGAGCTCTTTGGCATCAACTCAACTCGCCGTGTTTGGAGGAGGAGGAATGCTGCCTATGACCCCAAGAACACCATCCCCACCGTCAAACATGGAGGTGGAAACATTATGCTTTGGGGGTGTTTTTCTGCTAAGGGGACAGGACAACTTCACCGCATCAAAGGGACGATGGACGGGCCATGTACCGTCAAATCTTGGGTGAGAACCTCCCTCCCTCAGCCAGGGCATTGAAAATGGGTCGTGGATGGGTATTCCAGCATGACAATGACCCAAAACACATAGCCAAGGCAACAAAGGAGTGGCTCAAGAAGAGGCACATTAAGGTCCTGGAGTGGCCTAGCCAGTCTCCAGACCTTAATCCCATAGAAAATCTGTGGAGGGAGCTGAAGGTTCGAGTTGCCAAACGCCAGCCTCGAAACCTTAATGACTTGGAGAAGATCTGCAAAGAGGAGTGGGATAAAATCCCTCCTGAGATGTGTGCAAACCTGGTGGCCAACTACAAGAAACGTCTGACCTCTGTGATTGCCAACAATGGTTTTGCCACTAAGTCATGTTTTGCAGAGGGGTCAAAGACTTATTTCCCTCATTAAAATGCAAATCAATTCATAACATTTTTGACATGCGTTTTTCTGGATTTTTTTTTTGTTATTCATTGTTCAAATAAACCTACCATTAAAATTATAGACTGATCATGTCTTTGTCAGTGGGCAAACGTACAAAATCAGCAGGGGATCAAATACTTTTTTCCCTCACTGTATGGACAAGCAATGACAGAGCGGCATGGACTAAGATACAGTAGAATATTATAGAATAGAATGCAGTATATACATATGAGATGAGTAGTGCAAGATATGTAAACATTATTAAAGTGACTAGTGTTCCATTTCTTAAAGTGGCCAGTGATTTAAATAGGCAGCAGCAGCCTCTAATGTGCTAGTGATGGCTATTTAACAGTCTGATGGCCTTGAGATAGAAGCTGTTTTTCATTCTCTCGGTCCCAGCTTTGATGCACCTTTACTGACCTCGCCTTCTGGATGATAGCGGGGTGAACAGGCAGTGGCTCGGGTGGTTGATGTCCTTGGTGATCTTTTTGGCCTTCCTGTGACATCGGGTGCTGTATGTGTCTTGGAGGGCGGGTAGTTTGCCCCCGGTAATGTGTTCGGCAGACCGCACCACCCTCTGGAGAGCCCTGCGGTTGTGGGCGGTACAGTTGCCGTACCAGGCGGTGATACAGGATGCTCTCAATTGTGCATCTGTAAAGGTTTGTGAGGGTTTTAGGTGCTAAGCCGAATTTCTTCAGCCTCCTGAGGTTGAAGAGGCTTTGTTGCGCCTTCTTCACCACACTGTCTGTGTGGGTGGACCATTTCAGTTTGTCGGTGATGTGTACTCCAAGGAACTTGAAGCTTTCCACCTTCTCCACTGCGGTCCAGTCGATGTGGATAGGGGGGTGCACCCTCTGCTGTTTCCTGAAGTCCACGATCATCTCCTTTGTTTTGTTGATGTTGAGTGAGAGGTTATTTTCCTGGCACCACACTCCCAGAGCCCTCACCTCCTCCCTGTAGGTGGTCTTGTCATTGTTGGTAATCAAGCCTACTACTGTTGTGTCGTCTGCAAACTTGATGATTGAGTTGGAGGCGTGCTTGGCCACGCAGTCATGGGTGAACAGGGAGAGACCAAGTCTGCGTCTCTCACATGGATAGGCAGACCATTCCATAAAAATTTAGCTCTATAGGAGAAAGCCTCCAGCTGTTTGCTTAGAAATTCTAGGGACAATAAGGAGGCCTGCGTCTTGTAACCGTAGCGTACATGTAGGTATGTACGGCAGGACCAAATCTGGGAGATAAGTAGGAGCAAGCCCATGTAATACTTTGTGGGTTAGCAGTAAAACCTTGAAATCAGCCCTAGCCTTAACAGGAAGCCAGTGTAGAGAGGCTAGCACTGGAGTAAAATGATACCTTTTTTTCTAGCAGCCGTGTTTATTTAGTGCTTTATCCGGGTAGCCGGAGAGTAGAGCATTGCAGTAGTCTAATCTAGAAGTGACAAAAGCATGGATTAGCTTTACGGCATCAGTTTTGGACAAACGTTTCTGTCGGGTTTTTTTGCAATGTTATGAATGGAAAAAGCTTTCCTTGATATTCTTCCTAAGTTTGTCAAAGAGAGATCAGGGTCCAGAGTAAACCGAGGTCCCTTCGTTTTTATGTCGACGACTGTACAACCATCAAGATTCATTGTCAGATCCAACAGCAGATCTCTTTTCTGACCTACCTAGCATCTTGTTTGTCGATTTAAAACAAAAAAAACCTCTGCATCACTTACTATGTCTAACAAAGCTCAGGTGTTTTGGGGCTCCCATTTTCATCAATCAATCAATTTTATTTATAAGCCTCTTACATCGCTTATCTCGAGTGCTGTAGAAACACACCTAAGCTTGCAGTGTGAAGCACGGTGTAGAAAATCCCTAGAAGCAAACTGGAGAACCTAGAAGGAACAGCTATGAGGGTGCTTCCGGTTGCGGGGGAGATTCACTGCCAGATGTTAAAATGTCATAGTGAAATGTACAGATGTGTGTCGTGTCCGCATAGCAGTAGAAGAAGTGACAGTGTTGACATTTCCCAGTGAACATCACCAAGAGGGTAGATTATATATAGTGAAAACATAGTGGTCCTTAAAACGGAACCTTGGGAACACCAGAAACGTTTACAATTGAATTGTCAGTCGGACAAACCATTCCACAGAGCACGAACGATTATCTTTCCGACAGATAAGATCTAAACCAGGGAAGGACTTGTCTGTGTAGACCAATTAGCGTTTCCAATCTCTCCAAAAGAATGTGGTGATCGATGGTGTCAAAAGCAGCACTAAGGTCTAGGAGCACGAGGACAGATGCAGAGCTTTGGTCTGACGCCATTAAAAGGTAATTTACCACCTTCACGAGTGCAGACTCAGTGCTATGATGGGGACTAAAACCAGACTGATGCGTTTCGTATACATTAGTTGTCTTCAGGAAGGCAGTGAGTTGCTGCACAACAGCTTTTTCAAAAAAAAATTGAGAGGAATGGGAGATTCGATATCGGCTGACAGTTTTTTACATTTTCCAGGTCAAGGTTTGGCTTTTTCAAGAGAGGCTTTATTACTGCCACTTTTAGTGAGTTTGGTACACATCCGGAGGATAGGGAGCCGTTTATTATTATGTTCAACATAGGAGGGCCAAGCACAGGAAGTAGTTCTTTCAGTAGTTTAGTTGGAATAGGGTCCAGTATGCAGCTTGAAGGTTTAGAGGCCATTACTATTTTCATGAATGTGTCAAGAGATACAGGATGAAAAAACTTGAGTGTCTCCATTGATCCTAGGTCCTGGCAGTTCTGTGCAGACTCAGGACAACTGAGCTTTAGAGAAATATGCAGATTCAAAAAGGAGTCCGTAATTTGCTTTCGTCAAAGAAGTTCATGAATTCATCACTGCTGAAGTAAAAGCCATCCTCTCTTTTGGAATGCTGCTTTTTAGTTAGCTTTGCGACAGTATAAAAAATAAATGTTGGATTGTTCTTATTCTCCTCAATTAGGTTGGAAAAATAGGATGATCGAGCAGCAGTGAGGGCTCTTCGATATTGCACGGTACTGTCTTTCCAAGCTAGTCGGAAGACTTCCAGTTTGGTGGCGCTCCATTTCCGTTCCAATTTTCTGGAAGCTTGCTTCAGGGCTCAGGTATTTTCTCTATACCAGGGAGCTAATTTCTTGTGAGAAATGTTTTTTGTTTTTAGGTGTGCGACTGCATCTAGGGTATTTTGCAAGGTTACATTTTGATCCTAAGTTAGGTGGTTAACCGATGTTTGTACTCCGACGTCCTTGGGTAGATGGAGGGAGTCTGGAAGGGCATCTAGGAATCTTTGGGTTGTCCGAGAATTTATAGCACGGCTTTTGAGGATCCTTGGTTGGGGTCTGAGCAGATTATTTGTTGCGATCGCAAACGTAATAAGATGGTGGTCCGATAGTCCAGGATTATGAGGAAAAACATTTAGATCCACAATATTTATTCCATGGGACAAAACTAGATCCAGGGTATGACTGTGGCAATGTGTAGGTCCGGAGACATGTTGGACAAAACCCACTGAATCGATGATGGCTCCGAAAGCCTTTTGGAGTGGGTCTGTGAACTTTGCGGGACGCGCAGAGGATATGGTCACTAGTGTAACCAGGAGGAGAGGCCTCATTTAACACAATACATTTATCAGGCTTGAGCCATGTTTCAGTCAGGCCAATCACATCAAGATTATGATCAGTGATTAGTTCATTGACTATGACCGCCTTTGAAGTAAGGGATCTAACATTAGGTAGCCCTATTTTGAGATGTGAGATATCACAATCTCTTTCAATAATGACAGGAATGGAGGAGGTCTTTATTCCAGTGAGATTGCTAAGGTGAACACCGCCATGTTTAGTTTTGCCCAACCTAGATCGAGGCAGAGACACGGTCTCAATGGGGATAACTGAATTAAGTGATAATGCCCGAGAAGCCGGTCTTTGGAGGATATATTGGCACGGGGTGTTGTTAGGCCCTCCAAACACTGCTTTCGAGGGCATTATCACTTTTATACAACAGGTTACCAATATATTCAAATAATTTTCATTAAAAACTTTATTTTGATTAATTTAATAATGATATTTCATCCTTCCACAAGATATAGTCCCGACACAAATCTAGGGTTCCTATCCAAGCCGGCTGGTCATTTGTTCTATTGGTTCGGTTGCCAGAGACGCGACCCAGACGTTCTGTTTTTTTGTTCTGTATCCAGTCGTTCGTTCTAAATGTTCCATTGCCATACTGGCTGGCAACGTTCTTAGCCCTTGCTTGCTAACTAGCCAACTACGGTTAACTTACAGTCACATCAAAAAGTGCAGCCAGAATAACAGCAAAGTAGCTGCATTTGCATTTGTTTAAGCTGTTTTCTAGTGACATTTATTTGGATACATCCATGGCAATGAGCTAATGAGGCGCGATTTCGCCTGGCATAGAAAATGTGCTCACTCGTCAGGACACTATTGTTCAGAGGAGCTAGCCAACAACACAGCTAACACAATCACTTCAAACTGAAGCTAAAAAGACTGCAAACTAGCTGCACTTCATTTCATTGTACCTTTTTTCAATGTACCTTTTTTTGTATATATCCATAAAAATGATGCAGGCTGATTCATGATTTTGACTGGCTGAGAAACGCTGCCTGCCTGTTTGTCTCGTCCCGACTCGTTCATTACTATGGGACAGCTGGAGATCGAATTTGAATATTGAAACAATTTAGCAAATGTCGGAGAGACAGATAGCAAGGTTTATACAAATCTCCGCTGTTGAAAACTAAATGTTAGTCAACAAGAAATGTGAGAAAATGTCTAGATGCTTTTTATAGTGGAGATCAAGTTTATAAATTGCTTGGCTGGGTTGATGAGACAGTGGGTTGCGCAGTCAGATGGAACAGAGTAAATAGGCATTTTAACGTCATAGATTTAACCGGTTGTAACTTGTGGAATAGACAACGGCTGGAATGCAGTTTTAACCAATCAGCATTCAGTATTAGACCCACCCGTTGTATAATGGTAAATAATGTATTGTGTAATTTTGGAGTCACTTTTATTGTAAATAAGAAAAGAATATGTTTCTAAACACTTCTACATTAATGTGGATGCTACCATTATAATGGATAGTCCTGAATGAATCGTGAATAATGATGAGTGAGAAAGTTACAGATACACAAATATCATAGCATGCTCTTCAATCGAACGCTGCTGGCACCCGCCCACCCGACTAGAATCACTACTCTCGACGGGTCTGACCTAGAGTATGTGGACAACTACAAATACCTAGGGGTCTGGTTAGACTGTAAACTCTCCTTCCAGACTCACATTAAGAATCTCCAATCCAAAGTTAAATCTAGAATCGGCTTCCTATTTAGCAACAAAGCCTCCTTCACTCATGCTGCCAAACATGCCCTTGTAAAACGGACTATCCTACCGATCCATGACTTTGGCGATGTCATTTACAAAATAGCCTCCAACACTCTACTCAGCAAATTGGATGTTGTCTATCACAGTGCCATCCGTTTTATCACCAAAGGCCAATATACTACCCACCACTGTGAACTGTACGCTCTTGTTGGCTGGTCCTCACTACATATTCGTCGCCAAACCCACTGGCTCCAGGCCATCTATAAATCACTGCTAGGCAAATCCCTGCCTTATCTTAGCTCATTGGTCACCATAGCAACACCCACCCGTAGTATGCGCTTCAGCAGGTATATCTCACTGGTCATCCCCAAAGCCAACACCTCCTCTGGCCGCCATTCCTTCCAGTTCTCTGCTGCCAATGACTGGAACGAATTGCAAAAATCTCTGAAGCTGGAGACTCTTATCTCCCTCACTAACTTTAAGCATCAGTTGTCAGAGCACCTTACCGATCACTGCACCTGTACACAGCCCATCTGAAATTAGCCCACCCAACTACCTCATCCCCATATTGTTATTTATTTTGCTCATTTGCACCCCGGTATCTCTATTTGCACATCATCTCTTGCACATCTATCATTCCAGTGTTAATACTAATTGTAATTATTTTGCACTATAGCCTATTTATTGCCTTACCTCCATAACTTGCTACATTTGCACACACTGTATAATATTTTCTTGGTTGTATTTTGACTTTATTTTGGTTTACCCCCATATGTAACTCTGTGTTGTTGGGGAAACCAATTGTAAAGTGTTACCCCTAGGGGTGAACGCACCAATTGGTGAGTCGCTCTGGATAAGAGCGTCCTGCTAATGACGTAAATGTGCCCTTGAGCACGGCAGTTAAACCCTAATTGCTCCGGTAAGTCGCTCCTGGATAAGAGCGTCTGCTAAAATGACTAAATGTAAATGTAAATGTTTGTTGTTTTTTATCGCACGGCTTTGCTTTATCTGGCCAGGTCGCAGTTGTAAATGAGAACTTGTTCTCAACTGGCTTACCTGGTTAAATAAAGGTGAAATAAATAAAAATAAATACCCCCAAGACATGCTAACCTCTCACCATTACAATAACAGGGGAGGTTAGCATTTTTTGGGGGGTATGATATTTGTAGCTAGGATAGTCCACTCAGTAACAATTTGCCACTGTTTTCCATGGAGTCCTGGGTTCCATATCATCAATAAAAACAGATCAAAACATTTCTGTGTATTCAAACAAACACATTTCAACTTGACTGTTACTATTTGCATGTAATGATCATATATAATTGAACAATTCACAAATGCAAACATAAAGCATTTAACACTCAACTGTCTCTGTTTTGATTCTGAACAGTCTTTGTTTTTAGTCCGTAAGACTAGTCAGACAAGGAGGTACACTACATCTCATTCCAAAATCATGGGCATTAGTATGGAGTTGGTCCCCCCTTTGCTGCTATAACAGCCTCCACTCTTCTGGGAAGGTTTTGCACTAGATGTTGGAACATTGCTACGGGGACTTGCTTCCATTCAGCCACAAGAGCATTAGTGAGGTCAGGCACTGATGTTGGGCGATTAGGCCTGGCTCGCAGTCGGCGTTCCAATTCATCCCAAAGGTGTTCGATGGGGTTGAGGTCAGGGCTCAATGCAGGCCAGTCAACTTCTTCCACACCGATCTCAACAAACCATTTCTGTATGGACCTTGCTTTGTGCATGGGGGAATTGTCATGCTGGAACAGGAAAGGGCCTTCCCCAAACTGTTGCCACAAAGTTGGAAGCACAGAATCGTCTAGAATGTCATTGTCTAGAATGTCATTGTATGCTGTAGTGTTTGCCATGTGTTTCATGCTATTCCATTTGCTCCATTCCAGCCATTATTATGAGCCTTCTTCCCCTCAGAAGCCTCCACTGTCATCCACAATGAGCTCTGTTTCCTTTTGTGAATCAAAGTATGACATGGTGGAGTCACTGGTTTGTGCTGTCTTAATTTTTTTCAGCGCTGTTTCCTGTTCCTCACCCCACTGCCATGGAACATCCTTCTTTGTGAGCTACCGTAGTGGCACATTGATGGTGGCATAATCCTGAATGAAACCTGAGCAGTAGTTGGCCATGCCGAGAAGATTCATTATTTGACTTGCATTTTGGGGATTGCTGGCCTTGTGAATGGCAATGACTTTTTTTGGGTCAGCTGAGATACCACCAGCAGAGAAGATGAAACCAAAGAACTTTCGAACAATACTCTCAGGCTGTTATTGTGGTGAGCTTGTGTTGCTCCATACACAATGATGTCGTCGCTGAGGTTTTTCACACCTGCAATGCCTTAGAGTGTCTGACAGATAGCATTCTGGAACACCTCTGCAGCTGAAGTGATACCTAAGTTCAATCATTTATACCTCCTCAGGCCTAGATGAGTGGTGAACGTGGTCATATCTGCTGTCGGGTGTAGTTAATGTTGGTGATATCCAGCTTTTAGATCCAGCTTGGAAAACACTGTGGTTCTGTTGAGCTTGTGGATGACGTCGTCCATGGTGTGATGTGACATTCACGTAGAATGGCTGTATTGGCTTCGCACTTGTCTGCGCAGACTCTGACCTTGTCTGGGTCCTTGGGTTTTGAGGGTGTCACGATGGGGGAGACCCAGGGTGTAGGGCCTGCCACCCCACTGGGCAAAAACTAGTTGAATCAACGTTGTTTCCACGTCATAGCAACCAAATTCAATGTGATTACTTTAAATCAATGTGGAACACTGATTGGATTGGGGAAAAAGTAATCAACGTAAGGGAATTTAGTCTTTTTTTCACCCAACTTTTAACCTAAATCCAATGACATGGTGAAATATTTTGTTGATTTCACGTTGAATTCACATTAGTTAACAACTCAACCAAATGTAAATCAAGACTAGACGTTGAACTGACGTCTGTTCCCAGTGGGACCGTCTCGACGATGTCATCAGTCTCCAGTGGTTATAGCTCCCCGGATGTGGAAGGGCACACGCCTGTGTGGTTGGCATGTGGGCTGGACTTTGGTATCTGTGTGTAGTTTCACCTGGGAATCATTCAACTCTCCGATTCCATTGAACATTCTGGATGGTTGTCCACAAGTTCATCTGCCGCTGTGCGCTTGACTGGTGAGGGAGACGGAGTTGATTATCTTGATCAGGCTTAGCTCCTCAGTTGTTTGGTAGCTTAGCAGGGAGTAGCCATCACCTTGAATGACATAGAATGTGCTCTGAGTTTTCTTGTCTTGCCTCTACATTGCATGTGAGTGCACCAGCAATGTGCAGTGGGTTTGTGGAGCCATGTGAACATATCTTGATTTTGGCCTGGCTGAGCTGCGGCCGTGGCTTAAGTGTATTGAAAACCACCTCTGATAATGTTCACTGCAGCCCCTGTCTATCAGAACTACTACTCTGACACCATTTAGCTGAATGTGTGTCTGTGGTTGTCTAACACTTGTCACTGTTAACCACAAACACACAGGCATCATCACTGCTTGATGAATCTCGCCTCGCACTTTCACTATGTGTTGCGCTTACTTGGTTAACTTTCTGCCGTGATCTGTGTCGTTTAGCATTGTCTCTGGTGTCTGTGTGCTGCTCATGTTTTGCTTTTGATCGACACTGCTTTTCAAAGTGATTTTGTAGTACTATGGCTCTACCATGAGGTGTCGTATTACACGAGTGTTGTCGTAAACAATGTAGTAAATGTTACTGCACTGTCGGACATAGAACATTACATGTATGTGTGCCTGTGTGTGTATATTCCAACTCAATGTGTTTGTGTCCATGTGTGCATATGTGTGTGTGCATGCTCACCTGAGTGTGTGTGCACGCCCATGCGCATGTGTGGGCGAGGTGCCATTCAGCAGGTGCCCTGGCTGGCTGTCGTCATCTGGGCCTATCACGCTGCCACAAACACAGTTGTGCCCCTGCTTCCCTCAATGTCCCCCTGTGACCTGCCCTCTATACCCCGGCTACTGCCCCCATCGCTCTCTGTCTGTCAGTTGCTTTCTCTCTCTCTCTCTCTCTCTCTCTCTCTCTCTCTCCCTCTCTCCTCTCTCCTCTCTTCTCCTTCACTCCTCTCTTCTCTCATCCACTCTCCATCTCTCTCTCTCCTCTCTCTCTCACTCTTCTCTCATCTCTCTCCTCTCTCTCTTCTCTCGTCTCTTCTCTCTCTCTCTCTCTCTCTCTTCTCCATCTCTCTCTCTCTCTCTCTCTCCTCTCTCTCTCTCTCTCATCATCTCGCGCCCATTCAATTGAGAATATTGACTGTCAATGAACACAACAATAGTACTAACACTTACACATAATTCTCTCTCTCTCGATCCTATCTATTAACAGAGAAAGTTCTGTCTCTCCCTTGATTTATCATTCCTCTCCCTCTTATCTCTTTCCTTTTCCCCCTCTCCCTCCATCTTTCTCTCTCACTTGTCCATCTCTCCCTCCCTACATCAATATTTATCTCGCCATCTCTCACCAAGATAACACGTTTGAATTTCAAATCAGTAGTATATGTTTATTTAAGGACAAAGTGATATTGATATCCTTGTGGCAGTGAAGGGACATTGGTTAAATACAGAAAATGTACAGAAACTGTGTCAGTAGAACACTTTTAGTGTCTTGAGGGACACAGTCCATGAATGCTCTAAACACTAAACCAGTAGAATTCCAGACTTTGCCAGTTCATAGAAAAAGGAGAATAAAATGAGTCCAATGAAGCCTCTTTTCACTGACCTAACCTTATTTATATATATATATATATATATTTTACATATCAGCCCATAGCCTCTCAAAGGCTGTGTCCCAAATGGCACCCTATTTGCTAGTGCACTACTTTTGACCAGAGCCCTATGGTCCCAAAAATAGTGCCCTATATAGGGAATAGGGTGCCATTTGGGACACAGTCTTTGAGAGGCTATGGGCTGATATGTCTGTGTAGTAAGACAAAGACAGACATATAGAGAAATAGGTCAGCTAAAAGAGGCTTTAATGGACTCAATTTATTAATGGACTGTATCCCTCAAGATACTCAAAGTGTTCTACTGACACAGTTGCTGTACATTTTCTGTATTTAACCAATGTACCTTCACTGCCACAAGGATATCAATATTACTTTATCCTTAAATAAACATATACTAACTATAGTGCAGTTTGATAGTGCAGTTTAAGGAGATTTTACAGCTAACCACTGTAGCTATTTCACATGCTGATATTGACTTTGGTATTATTGAGTGATCATTGGCTAGAACTCGAATTGCTAGGAGGCTGGCCCACGTGGGGGAACATTTAGGGAAAATGGTGCAGCACAGCTTTCAAACTAAGGATTTCGTGGCTAATTGAGGTAAGACAGTAATTCTGCTAATAGATTATGCATGTATGAACTACACATTGATACATCCAGCCCAAAGTGGGGGATTGAAAAAATACTTAATAGTCGTCAAAGTTCCAGAGCATGTCTTTAAAGGAAAAATCCACCCAAAACCACTAATTCCTATAATTTACAGTGTTAAATAACACTAATATGTGAGAACAATATTTTCTGTGATTCATTTTTCAAGTCAAGTTTTTATTATCACGTGCACAAGTACAGTGAAATGCCTTTCTTGCTTGCTCTTTCCCAACAATGCAGTAATAATCAATATCAGTAGTACTATAAATGTTTTAATAAAAAAGTCAAGTAGAACAAAAACACACAAGAAATGTGAATAAGAAGAGAACACAAGAACACAAGAAAGTAAGTAAGTTATATACAGGGTCAGTTCCAGGGTCAGTGCCAATACCATATTTACAATGTGCTAGGATACTGGAGTGATGGGGTTAAATATGTATAGGGGTAAGGTGACTAGGCATCAGGATATATGATAAACAGAGAAGCAGCAGTGTATATGATGATGATTGTATGCGAGTGTGTGTGTAGAGTCAGTATGGATCTGTGTGCGTGCTATGTTTGTGTGAACAAATTGTGTGTGTGTTGGTGTTTCAGTGTGAGTGATGTGTAGAGTGTTCATAGAGTCAGTGCAAATATAAAAATAAAATAGTAGGGTCAATGCACATAGTCTGTGTAGCCATTTTGTTAGCTATGTAGCAGTGTTATGGCTTGAGGATAGAAGCTGTTCAGGAGCCTGTTGGTGTCAGACTTGTTGCTACGGTACCGCTTTCCGTGCGGAAGCAGAGAGAACAGTCTATGGCTTGGGTGGCTGGAGTCTTTAACAATTTTCCTGGCCTTCCTTTCACACCACCTGATATGTTGTTATAATAAGGTTGGTAGAAACGTGAAAATCTTTTGCAGCGTAAGTCGACTACAAAACCCACAATGCAATAGCTAGCAAAGGTAGCTACACACAATAATACCAAAGTCAATATCAGCATGTGAAGTAGCTACAGTAGTCAGCTGTAAAATCTCCTTAACAAACTGCACTATAAATTTAGGAGTTTACAATCTCACCATGTTCAACCTGCCAGCCTGGTCTCATAGACTAAACGTAACATAGTAAATGTAATTCAGAGAAACTCAAATGAGTATGATATGTTACGTTTGGTATGGTTACATAAGACAGATGGTTACTTAAGGCAAAAACTAAAGTAGCTTGGTTGGTCGGCGTATAACGCGAACGTCTAGCAACCCAAAAGTTGCGAGTTTGAATCTCATCACTGACAACTCCTCTGTAGCTCAGCTGGTAGAGCACGGCGCTTGTAACGCCAAGGTAGTGGGTTCGATCCCCGGGACCACCCATACACAAAAAAAATTATGCACGCATGACTGTAAGTCGCTTTGGATAAAAGCGTCTGCTAAAATGGCATATTTATTAACTTTAGCATTTTAGCTAATTAGCAACTTTTCAACTACTTACTACTTTTTAGCTACTTTGCAACTACTTAGCATGTTAGCTAACAAATTAATACATACCATATGAAACGTAAAATATCATACTAAATGGAGTGTCTCGGATTTCCGTACAGAATAATACGAATATGAATGCTTTGAGACCAGATTGAGCATTGTGATAAAGCTGCACTACCTACACTGGAAGTTAATTGAAATATGACTTTTAAATCGCGAAAACGTCTGTCATACCTCAGATTTCAATACTGGCCGATGTCATAAACCTGGATGTTGTCTTCTCGCTCGAATGAACCATTGATGATATTTTTGCGATATTCCTACCTCGAGAAATTTGTAATTTAACAGAGGTTCACCACATTTCTCCTATTTTTCTGCTTCAGTCCATGGTCTTTAGCTTAGTGCTGTTGCGAACTTCAGACGTCAATCTGCAGCTGCTGGGAAGGGTTAGGTTTAGGGGAAGGGTTAGCTAACATACTAAGTAGTTGAAAAGTTGATAATTAGCTAAAATGCTAAAGTTGTCAGTGTTGAGATTCGAATTCGCAACCTTTTGGTTGCTAGACGTTCACGTTATATGCCAACCAACCACCCTACTTTCATTTTTGCCTTAAGGAACAATCTGTCTGATGTAACCATACCAAACGTAACATATCATACTAATTTGAGTGTTTCGGATTTTACAATAACTATGTTACATCTAGTCTATGATACCAGGCTGCAATGCTATGTCATACCGGCTGTATTTCTGCCTGTGTCAATGGCTGGAGCTCAGATACACATGAAAACATGAAATGACCCCAGGAATCGATAGAACATTGCTCAGAGATACACAAATATGATATAACATTCAGAATCGATGAATCTTTCTTTTAATTTGACCCTCCTCTCAGCAGGAAAATAATCCTGCAGCAACAGGAAATGTGAATTAAAATGTGGATTATAAATAATCTACATTTTTGTAGGGGTTGATACATTTTTCGTTAGGGAAAATCAAGTCGCTCTCTTTCCACCCATCTCTAAGTCCACTCATTCCTTTCCTCTTCATTCAGCTCAACATGTCGCAATGCATCTGTCCTTCTTTCCCACTGGCTTTTCACACAGTGTTCCTTCTGTCTACATTTCTCTTTTCTTATATTTTTGTGCTCTCTCTCTATCTCGCTACCTCTCTCTCTCTGCCTGTTACTGTGACTATTTCTCGCTTATCTTATCCTTTATTTTCTTATAGTTTTTCCTCTGTCCTTTCTCTCCCACCCATCTCTCCCTTTCCTCCCTCTCTCCAGTGTGTACGTCTCGCTGTCAGAAGTTCCTGATCTCTCGTGTGGGCGAGGACTGGATCTTTCTCATCCTCCTGGGTCTGGTCATGGCCCTGGTCAGCTGGGTGATGGACTATGCTATCGCCTTCTGTCAGCAAGGTGAGAGAGAGTGATGAAGTGGGAAGGAAAGGGAGGGAGGGAGGGAGAAAGGGCGGGGGAGAGAGAGAGAAGGATGTATCCTTGGGTCTAGTCATGGCCCTGGTCACAGTGGTCAGCTAGGTGATGGACTAAGCCCTAGGGAATGGAAGGAGGGAGAGAAGAGAGAACGGGAGGGAGAAGAAGAGAAAGGTAGCTGGCGGGAGAGCGGGAGAAATATTCCTAGCTCCCCTAGTGTCAAAAAGTTTATTTAATTGGTTTTATATATCTCTGTGTGTCTGTGCAGCTCAGAAGTGGATGTATGGGGGACTGGACAGTAACATGCTCCTGCAGTACCTGGCATGGGTCACCTACCCCGTGGTGCTCATTACTTTCTCAGCAGGGTTCACACAGATACTGTCCCCGCAGGCTGTGGGTAAGAGACACACTCACGCTCAAGTGTGACACACACACAAGTACATGAATGGGCACGCAGACACACACACACACACACATATACTCTCTCATTCAATTTCATCTCACACCTACATTCATTGCTAATCATGCACACTCATATATTTAAATACCTCATTTGCATACAGAATGAAACACTGTGCATGATTGTTTAAAGGTCACAGATGTATGGAGTGGACTCAGTTCACATGAGTAGTTGGCAAAAGTTATACAACTTCAGGACATCCTTGACTATATCCTTGAAACCGCTAGTACTAACAGCCTTGAATACATACATAATCTGGAAGTTGATCCATGAATATACATTTTACTCCCTCTCCTTCTCTCCCTCCTCCGACCCTCTCCTCTCCCATCTCTCCTCTTCCTACTTTCTGTCCTCCTCCTCTTTCTCAGGTTCGGGTATCCCAGAGATGAAGACCATTCTGAGAGGCGTAGTACTGAAGGAGTATCTCACCTTTAAAACCTTTGTGGCCAAAGTTATCGGGCTGACCTGTGCTCTGGGCAGTGGCATGCCCCTGGGAAAGGAGGTGGGAAACCCATAGGAGACTGTTACGGAATGAAAGTGAAATGTTTGAAATTCCTGGGCCCGTATTTATAAAGCATCTCAGAGTAGAAGTGCTGATCTAGGAGCAGTTTTGCCTTTAGATCATAATGAATAAAGTTATGGACAGGGGGCGACCAGTTCTGCCTTCTTTTTTTCTCCCTTTCCCTTTCCCCCTCATCCTCTGACCCCTACCCCTCCATCTCTCCCTTTCTCCCTCATCCTCTGACCCCTACCCCTCCATCTCTCCCTTTCTCCCTCATCCTCTGACCCCTACCCCTCCATCTCTCCCTTTCCCCCTCATCCTCTGACCCTATTCCTCCATCTCTCCCTTTCCCCCTCATCCTCTGACCCTACCCCTCCATCTCTCTCTTTCCCCCTCCCCCTCCCTAATCCTCTGATCCCTACCCCTCCATCTCTCTCTTTCTCTCTCTCTCTCCTCTGATCTCTCTCTCAGGGCCCGTTCGTTCATGTGGCCAGTCTGTGTGCAGCCCTCCTGAGCAAGTTCTTGGCTGCCTTGTTTGGTGGAATCTACAAGGTGAGAGACCCCCCCCCCCCCACACACACACCCTAACCTTTAACCCTGCACACATGCTTACTCCCACTCAATTTGGTTTTAGTATCTGTGTGATACCTGTCTGACCAGCCTGCCACTCCTCCAGGACCCACTCTCACCCCCACTCACCTGAGTCCAACGCTTGGCTCCAATCTGGCTCCTGTCTGTGGTTCTCAGTCTGCCAAGAGATTACTTTCTCTGCCATACACCACCCAAGATTTGGAGGAGGAGGCGAAGGAGGAGGAAAAGGAGGAGGAGGAGAAGAAAGAGGGGGAGGGAAAGGGAGAAGAAGGAAGAAAGTGTCAAGTTTACTTTATAGAGCTTCCATATTGATCAGTGTCAGGGCTCAATCCATTTGAACCCAGTCACTATAGGAGATTGCATTTACTTTCTGTCCAAAAACCAAAGCAACGATGCATTAAAGAGAATATCCCAGAAGATTTTGGTCTCTGCTTTTCTTCATTTGAACTCTTAGGTACTCACTCAGATTTCTGTCTTTTCCCACTTACTGCTTAAGGAAGAGCCCTTTGAGGGAAACAAGGTACGAGTGCACGTGTGTCTAAGTATGTGCACCTCTCAGAGTTTCCACTTTTCATGTACACATGTTGGAGCGTCATCTGAGCACCATTCCATTTCTAATCAAGGATTTCTATTATATTCTATGTGAATGACACATGACATGCATGACATCTCCCTTTGCTTCATGTTATTCTGTTCATTCTAACATTCCCCTCTGTGACTCCATTACATTCCAATGCCCTTGGCCTTCCCTTTTTACCAGAAATGTGTATATTTGTATGTGTGTTTACATGTGTGTATGTATGTACTATGTGTGCTTGCACATACGTGTGTGTGTGTGTTCCTATTCCTACAGAATGAGCTGAGGAACACTGAGATGCTATCAGCAGCGTGTGCAGTGGGGGTAGGTTGCTGCTTCGCTGCCCCCATTGGAGGTAATTAGAATATACTTTGGGTGAGAAATACAATAAGTGAAAGAATGATATTACTGCAACAGTGATTGTGTGTGTGTTGCAGGTGTGCTCTTCAGCATTGAGGTAACGTCTACGTTCTTTGCGGTGAGGAACTACTGGAGGGGCTTCTTCGCTGCCACCTTCAGCGCCTTCATCTTCAGAGTACTGGCTGTGTGGAACCAGGACGAAGGTGAGGAGGTGTGTGTGAGTGTGTGTGGGGGGGGGGAGTGCCTTGGGTCTGGGTCACTGAGCCAGTAGTTAGTCAGAGGTGACTCATGAACCTCCCGAGTGGCGCAGTGGTCTAAGGCACTGCATCGCAGTGCTAGCTGTGCCACTAGAGATCCTGGTTCGAATCCAGGCTCTGTCGTAGCCGGCCGCGACCGGGAGACCCATGGGGCGGCGCACAATTGGCCCAGTGTCATCCAGGGTAGGGGAGGGAATGGCCGGCAGGGATGTAGCTCAGTTGGTAGAGCATGGCGTTTGCAACGCCAGGGTTGTGGGTTCGATTCCCATGGGGGGCCAGTATGAAAAATAAGAAAATTATGTATGCACTCACTAACTGTAAGTCGCTCTGGATAAGAGCGTCTGCTAAATGACGTAAATGTAATGTTATTCTCCCTATTTCTGTCGCTCTATGTCTGTCCTTCTCTCAGAGACCATCACAGCCCTCTTTAAGACACGTTTCCGTCTGGACTTCCCCTTTGACCTCCAGGAGCTGCCAGCCTTCGCCATTCTGGGGTACGGGTTTGTTGTGTGTCTTTTGTGTCCAACACACCCAGGTCTGACTCCTCCTCATTCTGATCACTTCAATGGCTATTGAACTAGAATGGTGTGTGACTCTGTCCCCTCTCCTCCTCAGGATTGCATGTGGTTTTGGTGGGGCTCTCTTTGTCTACCTGAACAGACTGATAGTAGAGTGTATGAGGAAACAGAAGACAATCAACAAGTTCCTGCTCAGGAAGTGAGTCTAATACAAACACGCACACACACACACAACTTCATACACTGCTACACACACACACTAAACACACACACACACAGTGCCGGCTCGCCCTATATGTGGACTACGCACTGCGCGTCGGAGGCCCAGACAAAAATACAAATAAATACGTTTTTTGAGAAAGAGAGTTTGAAAGAAAACACTTTTGAGAGTTGGAATTCTAGAATACACAAGGTGCAGTACGACTACAAATGAACTAACATTCTCTCAAGTCATGTTTTGGGCCCAAGGGTCGTGAGGTGTGAGGCCCCAACCAAATCTCGCTTTGGGCCCGCAAATGGCTAGAGCCCTGAGTTCTTTCATACATGAACAGCAGTATATTATAGAGAAGATAAACACTGTAAAACAGAATGGGAGCACCTGAGCAACAACCACTTTTTTTACCAGAAAATGATCATGATCCATTGGGTAATTTGTTATTTTCAATGATTAGTAATGTTTTGAGCTAGTAGATATGTCCATTTTATATATGATATAATAATGAACAGATTGCATTTTGCATCCCCGTCACCTCAAGATGAATGGTTTTGACCACTGGAAAGTTTTACTTCGCTCCCGCACGCCACTGTTTTAGTTCAGTGCAGGTAGACAGCACTACTGTAGTTGCACCACTGGTGTATAAAATGAAAGGGCACCTACAAAATATTTTTTTTACATCTATTTTGTTGTGCTGTTATATTTGTATCGTTGTTTCATGTCCGATGGTGTTGGTCCTATGGTGGTGGTCCAATGGTGTTGGTCCAATGGTGTTGTTACATATCATTTGAGCAGCGTGCACCACGAGCAAATTCACTTTTCATGATGAACATGGCCCGGGCATGTCTTGGCTTTGCTGTATTGCAGCCTCTGACTCTGCCTTCCATCAGCCTACCAAAAGTTGCACCTTTGCAGACAACTGCATGTCCGGTAGGTAGCTCACAATTGAGAAATAATCAGTAGGCCTAATATTACATGATTAAATCTGTGAAATAGTTTTCCTCCCCAAGCTGTTTACAGGCATTTAACACCAGTCTGCAGTTTGCCATCTATTTCCCAACATCAATCGTTTAAATCACATTGTTCAAATATTTTCATTCAGTTACAAAAGTAACAGTCCTGGGTGAGCCCCATATGCGAGCCCACCATGGCCGCTTTGAGGTTACAATGTAGCCAAGATGTATGCGCCAAATGAAAAAGCATAGGATAATTTGTACAGTATGTAGATAAAAAAAACAGCTCTGCTTGTCTTGGTAAGGGACAGATCGAAATTTACTGGGAGGAGGGGCTGGTCCAACTCAAGGTGTCTCAAGGTGGTCCTCTGTAGCTCAGCTGGTAGAGCACGGCGCTTGTAACGCCAAGGTAGTGGGTTCGATCCCCGGGACCACCCATACACAAAAATGTATGCACGCACGACTGTAAGTCGCTTTGGATAAAAGCGTCTGCTAAATGGCATATTATATTATTATTATTATTATATATTATATTATATATAATTATTATTATTATAAAATAAATAATGCACCCCCCTCTCCAAAGTAAAATATTTTCACATGACCTTCAACTTGTACTGTAAAATAAATGTAACAACCTCCCCCTCATAGAATTAACTCAAAATAATGTTTACAACCACAAATAACAAAAACTGTAGCGACCCTGTGTTTATAAATGTAGATATCGACTTTGCCACTTCAGCATGCTTTTGTGGCACAGTCGCAGGGGTACGGGCCAGAAGGTTGACGGTTCGCCGACCACCACAGATGAGCTCACTCTCCCTGCCTGTTTCATTACATTACGATCAGCCGGCTGCAGACAATGATCAACTAGGGTCAAATCAGATTTTTTACATTGTGATGCCATATTTATAATTATATAAAATATATGCAACACATTTTCCAGCAACAGGTTTCTGTGCCAATGCACCACACAATCAATAAACAAAGCATACTGACTTCGGGCACTTCAATATCATGGTTTGCGTTTAACACCATAATAAATAGAGTATGTCAATCTGGACAAACAGAAAATACATCCCTCCCTGCCTTGTAGGCTTACCCAGTATAGAAGGCTTGGCTTGACAATCTCCGAATGTCATTAAACATTTTTGGTGTTTTGTAACAGATGTCTCTTTCCATTCATCAATTGGCCGCTGCACAGTTTGGATAGATTGATTTTATTAGTACACAAAGATTTATACACAGATTTTTTTAAGTGACCGGGATTGCACAATAAAGTCGGGGACTTATTTCTATCGTGGCCCCTATTTTTTACATAAATACATATACAATTACATAGATACAGACACATTACAGAGAAAGAGACAAATGCTCAACCCCCAGAAGAGTATGAGGGGGGAGTTTAAGTACAATTCTTACAAGCTTGTTTGGCTGGTAGCTTATTCTTTCGATGTTTGGAGCTGCTGGTGAACCATGATATGCAGGCATAATCAAAGTGACACTGGACTAGCGCACTTGCCAGAGTCTTTAGGGTGTATATAGGTAGGTTACCATCCAATTGGCGACATATTTCATGTGAATATTCTAAAATCTTCACAAAAACAATATGCAATTTCAGAGTTTCCTTCAGGAAAATTTGGTGCTGGACAACATGACATGGAAGATTTTAATTTACAGGACATATGAGACATTTTATGGACATCCATATGCATTCAGATCCAACCTGGCTCAGCCAGCACCATCAATAAACAAGGGATGTTGGCCAAATGAGCCACATTTACGTGTCCTTAAAAACAGCCTATAACAAATTACAAAAACACTATTCCTTGTGTTTCGATGTGTAGCATATGCAACTTTATATCCTATTTGGGGTTTTTTCTTTAGGTACTTTCCTAAAACAATAATTGTTCACCTCACGGTTCAGCTGTCAGAGATTTGAGCAGTAAATGTATCAGGGCATTGCATGCAAAGGCTTAGGTGTCTACTGTATGATCTTATTTTAATAGGCTATATATATATATATATATATATATATATATAAATATAAATAAAGGAAGAGAAGGAAGAGAAGCTTAGGCCTAACCCCAGAGAGATAGAGATATGCCGGTGGCATGCTACGACACCGACATGTATTTTTATTTTTTTTATGTCAGATGGCTACTACGTCTTCTATACAGATATAGACGTACAGAAGGAGGGTAATTCGTTAATTTTCAATCCAAATATTTTATATCAAGATAAGCATTATATTATTAGATTATAGGAGTAACTCTGGTAGGCCTGAAACAGTCTTCCTCACCTCAAGTGTCGGAGTCAGTTGGAGCGCCAGGTCACACTGCCTTCATATCATAGGCCTGCAGTAGCTAAAGCTTAATAATAGCCACACCATACCAAACCTTCACAAATGTTTCTGAAGTTTATTAGGGTAATATCAAAAGTAAGTCAAGCCATTGTTTATAGGGAAAATACGAGCAGAAGACAGAATGTAAACATGGGAAATAACGCACTACCCTCCCCTGTGCCCCAAAAACCCTCCCCAAAGCAAAAAAAAAAAGTTTGATAACCCTCCCCTATTTTGGACCACCCTTCCCCCCAGTAAATGTTGAGCTGTCCCTAAGTAATATCGACAAAATAAGCCATTTCTAATATATGCATGCTGCTAAGACAAGTTAATTTGAAACATTTTCATGGTGACATTGCTTCAGCGCCAAAAAGAAGTCCATGTCGGAGGAAAAGCAGAATGGGCCATTAGTCCCCTGTAGCTCAGTTGGTAGAGCATGGCGCTTGCAACGCCAGGGTTGTGGGTTCGTTTCCCACGGGGGGCCAGTATGAAAATGTATGCACTCACTAACTGTAAGTCATACTGGATAAGAGCGTCTGCTAAATGACTAAAATGTAAAAAAATATATATATATATTAATGTGCTTGCTGGGAATACGATTTTGTTATTCCTCATACTTTTCATGATTATTCAGTTTCTTCACGATTTGTTGTAAAATATGTAGCCTACTCACTGTGGTTGTTGTTCAAAATTACAATTTTCAAATAATTGATAGTAGCCTAGTCCTGTAACTGCAGGCTACAGATTTGTTCAAATGTAAAAAACCTTTTTTCTCTCATCTTAAAAAGACAAGATTCTCAAGATAGGCTACTGTAGAATGATTTATGTTAAAATTGTGGGGTGTTAAGAACCAAAATGCAATTACATTATGTACGCAGTGCTGTTCTTTGTTTCTATTGATCAAATTAGGCCTACACAATAACAAAATATGCAGGCTGTATATGAGTAGCTCGCAAAAAAAGGTTTTATATGAAGTAGTCTTTATAAAATAAATGGTTGGAGACCCCTGCTCTAGCCCAAACTGTTCAAATATGACCCATATTACCGGAGCTACATTTTATTATTTTTATTGCAGATTCAGGGCCACAATTTATGGATATATATATATATATATATATATATATATAGCTGCCAAAAGAAATCACATTTGATCATTATAATTAATAATAAGTTTGCAATATTGTTTTTATGTGAACATAATCAATTAACTCAAGTTTGCATTTTCAAGTTGACAGTTCTTGTTCAAAGCCCTACCAGATAACACTAGCATCTTGAGAAAGAAAATTGTTAAAAGATAACTCAAGTTCACATTAGTAATTGTACTAAATTATTGTGATTTCATTATTTGTGACAAAAAGAAGATGAAAACACAATGTGCAATTTAACAATGCTTTTTCTTAACCTAGCAAGTGCAAAATTCTAATTCAAATCCTTATTGGCTAAAACAATATTATTCCTCCCATTTTTTTATTAATTTCCTCATTGTCGTGTTATCCTGGCCACATTCTTAACAGTTTGGCCTGTCAATCAATCACTGTGGGTGGTTTTAAAAAAAATTTAAAAATGGTAAGATTTTGCACCCCCACTTTCAGACAAAGTCAGGTGCCCATAGCGACACACACACACACACACACACGCACGCTCGCTCGCTAACTCACTCACACACTCACACTAATGAACCCACAGCTCTTCTCTCCATGTCAGACGCCTGGTGTATCCTGCCATGGTCACCTTGATCATCTCAACCCTCACCTTCCCCCCTGGGTTTGGACAGTTCATGGCTGGACAGGTCAGAAGTTCCAAATTTTTTATATCTGTGTCTGTGTATCTGTCAACCGCACTGTGTATGATACACTTTTCAAAATATAAGACCAGGGATGCATCTCAATTGTCTAAAACAGCTTCCTCTCCTTGTCCCCTTCATATTCTCTGATATGAAGGATCAGTCCTGTGATGTCTTCACCTATCCTATTCTCTTAGATCAGTGAAGGGAAGGAGATGAGGAAAGAAAGCCAATTTAGACTATTAAGATTGGTACAGTATATCCCAGTCCTAACAGCTCTATCTCGCCTTGTCTCCTCAGCTGACGCAGCATGAGTCCCTGGTGGCGTTGTTGGACAACCGAACATGGTGTCGCCAGGGCGTTGCCGAGGAGTTTGACTACATCAGCCACTCCCACGCCTGGAAACACCCCCAGGTTAACGTCTTCATCACTCTCATCCTCTTCATCGTCATGAAGGTACGTGTTCATTTATTTGAGATAGAGAGAGTGTGCAGAGTGTGTTTAGGATAGGATTCTTATTTACAATGATGGCCTGTTTTGGTGTGAATCTATGAATGTTATGCCCCAGTGTGTCTGTTTTCAGTTTCCTCTATTAACCTTCTCTCTCACACACTAGTTCTACCTTTATCTCTCGCTCCTCAGTTCTGGATGTCTGCAGTAGCTACCACCATGCCTGTGCCGTGTGGGGCCTTCATGCCAGTTTTCCTCATTGGTAAGTCACTTGCTGTGTGTACAAATGTGTGTATTTAGCCATACACACTAAAAACACTAACACTTTATGTATGTGATGTGCAGGTGCGGCATTTGGACGTCTGGTAGGAGAGACCATGGCAGTCATGTTCCCTGATGGCATCCATGCCGATGGCAGTGTCTATCCTATAGTGCCTGGCGGCTATGCTGTAGTGGGTGAGTACATCACCAGTTGCATTAAAACAAACCTGTTTTTTTGCTTTCAAGGCCCCATTACAGCTCTAACATCTCCACTTGGCTGAATCCAATCCTGAGACTACTGAACTTAACCATAGGCCCCTCCATTTTGGCTCTCTCTGATGTGATTGAAACTGCAGGCGGTGCACCACCAGTTGCACTAAAACCAACCTGTTTTTTCATCTTCAAGGCCTCATTACGGCTATTTTGTATCTACTTATGGGCACCATCTTGGCTCTTTCTGTTCTCTAAGGTGATTGAAAATGCAGACGGGTGTGATGCCGAAGCTATTTTTGTCAATTGTGCTAGCTTATTGAATGTGACTGATGAAAATGTATTCTGTTACGATAGAGCAGATAAGCAGGTTTTGGATTGAAAATGAAATCATTTTCTGCTCCTCATTGATTTGATTGGTTAGTAGAACATCAAAGGGACAAAACCTTGAACAATTCATTTTTATTTTTGGGCATAAAAGACTTGTTGGATAAATGTAACTAGTACAATCCCATCACAAATCACTAGCTTGAGCTTTCATTTGTTTTGTTGTCTAAAACAGTATAGCTAACAAATACACTTACAGTAGCATTGAAAACCCGTACACCATCTATTGCTTATGAAACAGTATTTTGTGGAGAGATGTAATGAATTAAATGTGGACTCACCCACTACTCCAGAGGCACTGCACTTTGGCTGTGCTACCAGCCTTTCTGTACTCTCTGTAGTTGTAAAAAAAAAAAAAAAAAGAAGACAAATGTCACTTTCCACCACTTTGGACAAAGTCATATTCATCATCATCCATACTGCGTATCCCTCCTCCCCAGGTGCGGCGGCGTTGTCAGGGGCAGTGACTCACACGGTGTCGACAGCAGTCATCGTGTTTGAGCTGACGGGTCAGATCAGCCACATCCTGCCAGTAATGATAGCGGTGATCCTGGCTAACGCCGTAGCCCAGTCCCTCCAGCCCTCACTATACGACTCTATCATCAGGATCAAGAAACTACCCTACCTCCCTGAACTGGGCATGGGGCACCATGAGTGAGTCCGTCTGTCCATCTTTCCTTTGTTTACGTCTCTATCTCCCTTGCTGTCTGTTACTCCCTTTATTCTTTATTCTCTTATGCTTTCAACTGTCTTCAAGACTGACTCTCTCTTCTTAACATTATTTATTGTCCTCTATTCGTCTATCTCCTATTTCATTCTTACCACTTCTTCTTCTGCTCTCTTCTCCTCCTCTCCTTCAGGAAGTATAACATCCGTGTGGAGGACATCATGGTTAGAGACGTACGTTACATCACTCTCTCCTCCTCCTACCGAGACGTACAGGAGGTCCTGATGACTGGACAGCTGAAAACACTGGCCCTGGTTGAGTCCACAGGTAAGGGTACGTGTGCAACTGCACATCTATAGTCAGCTATAAATCCAAGATGCATCCTTCCTCCATGACACCATGACACATGTCTCCCTCTCTACTGCTTCTCTTCTCTCCCGTGTCTTTCACTTCTTCCAGCTTTTTGTTTTGGTGTCCTATTCCATCTATTCCGTATTCTGCTTATTACTCTCCTTTACTGTTTCCTCTTTCTGTCCTCTCTTTTCTCCCCTATTCCCTGCACCCCTTTTCTCTTCCTCTTTCTCCTCTCCCTTATTCTCCTTTGCTCTTTTCTCTCCTATTTTGTCACTTTTCCTCTCTCTATCTTCCTATCACACTCTCCACCCTTCCCCTCTCTCCCTCCCTCCCTCCCTCTCTCTCTCTGTCCCTCAGACTCTATGATCCTGTTGGGTTCTATAGAGCGATGCCAGCTCCAGGCACTCCTGTCCCTCCAGCTGGGTCCATTGCGCAGGCTAGACCACCTCCGGAGGCATGCCCAGGACAACGGCACACACACACACACACTGGGCACACACACACACCTGACCAGCCTGGACACCATGGACAGTCCTCCCAGCCCACCCTGCACACACACACACTCCTACACCTCCAATACCAGCGCACGCCATGGGGTTCGCTTCCTGGTGAGTGTAGCAGAGGTGAGTCGGACTCACGCTCACGTGAGGAGGTAGCCCTGCCTGCGACTTAAAGTCACTGTTACCATCGAGGGTGGTGAGGGTGTTGGGTAGTTTGGGTAAAGTTTATTACACATAATGTGTGGATGTGTATTTGGATGGACAGATATTGGTTACAGTAAATGTGTGAGTGAAGTGTGTGTTTGTCAGGGTGTGTGTTAGGATAGGTGTGTGTGTAAGTACAGTAGGTGTGTGGGACTGGTTTGGTAGGGGACGTCTGTGAAGTTTGTCTAATGGGGTCTTACATTATGTGGGGCATCTTCAGTACTTCAGTATGCCTTCTACTGTCTACAGTACCTCTAACCACTGTATATTGTGTGTATATTGTCTGTATATTGTCTGTATATTGTGTGTCTCTATTTAGATCTCAACAGAGGAGTCCTCCTTCAGTGCAGCTGTGTCCAACTCTCAGCTGCCACTCAAGTCTGCTATGAAAACTGTCCCTAATATTCACAACACAGAAGCACCCAACAGCATACACACTCTCTCAATTAATAGAGACACGCCGACTCCCTCTCCTCTCTCAGGCTCTCAGCAGACTCTCTCCTGTGGTGACCCTGAGAGAGAGCTACTTGAGGTGAGTGTGTGTGTGTTTGTGTGCATGTGTCTGTGTGTGTGTGCGTGTGTACATGCATGTGTTTATGTTTATGTGTGTATGCTTGTATCCTCATATGCCTCCTTCCTTTACTTCCACTCTGTTCTCAGAGAATCTTTATTAACTTTAAGCCCCAGCGTTGCTGTAACATAACATTGCACCTCTCCTCCCTCTCCTTAGTAAGAGAAGCAAAACAAGCGTTCTGCGTTTTAGTAACATTGTTTTCATATTTATATCACCCATTATCCGTCTCCTCTCTCCTTATCAGCTGGTAAGCCCATTATAGAGTATAATGTTGCTGTAACGTTGTTTTTAGGTTGTGTTAACGTTGTGCTAACGTTGTGCTAACGTTGTGCTATGTTAATCCCTTCTCTCCCTGGCTTTAAGAGCCCGGCAGAGCCAGAAGCTCCTGAGAGCAGGGGGCCCAAACGAGTCAGGATCTCCATGATGGTGGTAAGACTGCCGCCCGCATTAGAGTCCGTTGCTAAGTAACTGTTGCCTAGCGACCTAGCATAGAGCAAGTGACCGACCAAAATCGTTTTGGGTACTTCTACCAACCCAAAATATACTGTGGCTGTGTAGAGGGAGAGAAATGAGAGGGAGAGAAGGAGAGAGGAAGGCAAAATTGACCAAACCTGAGTTAAATCATTTTAGTGATTCAGCGGATTATTTCGCCAAAAAAAGCTCAATCAACAGTGACTCACAAAGCAAGCTGAGCAACAGCGTAGCTGCAGGGGCAGAAGCATGCACTTTTGATTGTGGTTATGTGTTTGGTATGTGTTGTTAGTCTTTCATGCTCATATGCAGTGGCGGTATGGATTCATTGTATATTTGTGTTTGTGTGTATGTGGGTGTAACCACTGTCTCTCTTTCTTTTCAGGAGTCCCCAGAAGTAGAGGATGACATGACCACAAACGAAGTAAGACTGAACTCTCTCATTGGTAAACTGGCGTGTCAGTCAAAAACAAAAAATGCAGTGACTGTTGTGAGAGCTTTATAGATGTTCTTTATTGGCTGAGTTTTTAATCCAATCCCACAGATAGCGGAGTGGGAGGAGCAACAGCTTGACGAGCCAGTGGATTTCAACAACTGCAAGATAGACCCCGCCCCTTTTCAGCTTGTGGAGCGGACATCTCTGCATAAGGTGTGCCATCATCAGTTCACCTGTCACTCAATCTACCTATCTCTTACCGATCTACCAAGCAACCCAACTGTCACGTCTTAGTTGTAAAGGTTTTTCTTGTGAGACTTGTGTTATCGTTGTTTCACTGCCAATGAAGGCAGACGTGAGCAGAGCATCTGCTAAATGACTCAAATCTAGAAATGTAACCAGACATCAGGTGTCAGACAATGGCTGAGTTCCATCTCTAAAAAATATGTTCTCTTCCCTCTGCCCTTGATGACTCCCCTTTGTTTGATGGGGTTGGTGACAGAAAGTTGATGACACACAGCTCCACTCGACAGGAGCCTTTCATTACAAATAGAAGTCTCTGCACTAGACTATGGCATTTTTGTAGTAGACAATTTGTTCTCAATGATGTTTTACCCCCTCTCTTTCATTCTCTCTCTCTCCATCCCCTCTCTCTCTCCAGACTCACACCATATTCTCCCTGCTTGGGCTGGACCATGCCTATGTGACCAGTACAGGACGGCTGGTGGGAGTGGTCTCCCTCAGGGAGGTGGGTGTTCCTGTGCATTAGAACCCTGATGTCACGGTCTTGTAGTTACTGTGTAGTTATTTGTATTTTCAACACTGATGTCATCATGCTATGATTGATTGAGTGCACTTCACCTCAAAATCACCACAAACACATTATTGATATGACATCACAGGAACACTTCCTCTTTACTTTGGCTGTGATTGTGTTAGAATATTGCCATCACCTCAGATCAGTCCTAATGACAATACTGTGCTTTATGAATCAGCAGCAATCAAGGCTAATCAATCTGCTCATTACAAAAGTTGATGCAGATTAAAGGTTGCCTTGGTAACAACCCAGTGCGCTTGGAGATCTAATCAAAAGCGTAATATGAATCACTACTCTGTGTATTCCAAAATTACTTCATAATGTTCAATTATATGTCTCTTGCTCTCTCTCGCTCGCTCTCTCTCTCTCCAATCTTCTTTCCATCCTCTCCCTATTTTATTCCTTTCCCTCTCCCTCCAATCTACCTCTCCTCTCTCTGTCTAACTCTAGCTGCGTAAGGCCATAGAGGGTTCAGTGACGGTGACAGGGGTGAAAGTTCGCCCCCCTCTGGCCAGTTTCCGTGACAGCGGCAACACCACCAGCATTTCCGAGGTGACAGAGCTACACAAGCTTTGGAACCGCCACAGAGGCCTCTCATTACCACGGGAACCCACCCCGCCCGACATGGAGGACCAATTGGACGTTACGCATGAGGAGACCCCTGTCCACTTCATACAGGACCAATCAGATATGGAGTTTGAAACCATCCCTGCTGACACTATTGACCCACCATCGGAATTGATTCTTCAGGAAAGCCTCTCAATAACAGAGGACCAAACAGAGGAGTTTATCTTAGAGTGCAGCCCTTCCCACACTGACGAATCAGAGCTGGCCTGTGATTTTGACCCCTCCCACCTCCCTGAGACTGACCAATTGGAGCCGGTGAAGGAACATGGAACCCCGCCCCATGGAACCACGCCCCAGAACATAGAGCAAATGGACCAATCAGAATTGCAGTGTAAGCGAAGTCCCACCCGCACTGAGGACCAATCGGAATGACCGAAGGGGTGACGGACAGTTAGGAGTTGCTTCATGGTTCGTTGAGGTTTCTACAACCTTAGAGGTCACTTTCACCTCAATCTTCAAGCTGGTCGTCTGTGTCCACAATGTATTGTGTGCGTGCGTGTGTGTTGGTGTAAATTAGCTTGTATTCCTGTGTGAGTGATAGAGTAACTGAGTGAATGTGACAACATGGTTCTGTGTTTAACAAAGTGTTTTGGTGTGTGCGTGTTTCAAAGTAAGTGTGTGTGTGACTTGGCGGAACCTTGCCCATGCACCCATCTGGTGCTGACACTTCGATTCTCAGTTTGATTATCAGA